AATCTGGAAAAGAACTGAAGAAGAGGTGAAGAAAGTGTTAAGTGACTGTATAAGCACAGTGCTCTGCAGGCTGTCAAAGTGGTGTTCATAGCTTGTGTTTCACTCATATTTTAACTTGGTAGTAGGACAGCATTGGCTAATAAGGGTTGTAGTTATGCTTTGTCAGGTAGAGCTGTTTTAAAAATGGCTGAGCTTTTTCTTCCTCAGAAGACAGAGCTCCTATCAGTTCAGCAACTGGCAGCTGTCTGTTCTGCTCAGCCACAAACTGTGGCTTCCACTGGCTAAAAGGAAAGAAATTCAGAGAAGACAATGTTTTTACTTGCAGCTGCACCACATCATAGTTCAGGATCTCAGGTTGCAGTGGGTATTTGGAATGGAAATTGCACAGCAACAAAACATGTTCTTTTAGTGCTTTTGGGTTTATAGAAGAGGATTTTGCTGCTAGACATTTTTGCTTTAGAATGGAACAAAGAAAGGTGCATCATTCTGTCACTGACTTAGCATTTAGTGGTTTTATTTCTTTTAATTCTTCCCTCACACTTCCCCTCCCTAGCATGGCTTCTGGCTTGAGTCTTCTGAAAGGCATTACTCAGAAATGCCAGTTAATCTCAACCAGATCAGGCAAGACAAAGAATTATAACAGTATTTGGAAGTTACCAGCCAAAGAACTCCACAGATGGCTGACAAGTGTTCCTTCTCTGCTTGATACTGAATGTGCTGGGAGAGCTAGCTAACAAAACTGACACAGTTTTTTGTTTGTTTTTTAATTAATTGCTGCAGCTCATTAATGCAACTTAATTACACTTATATTTCCCCTTTCCTTCATCCCATTCCCTCCCCTCAAAATTAACTTGTCACAAAACCCCCCCTTCCATTAGAATGTTGCCAGGCTTGTGCCTGGAATAAGTTCGGTGAAGCAGGCAGGCACAAAACCATCAGTAAGTCATGAAGAACTAGGCATTTTCCAGTGTCCTGGAGCAGGTTTCAGCTGTATATATGACTACTGGTGTAAAGTTAATGTAGATGGGCAAATCCAGAGTAAGCTACAGCTGTTCTGGGAATGGCTTGGCATGTTGAAATGGGGTTAAACTGTGTGCTGAGTTGAAGATTTGGTACTTGTACTAGTCTGTAGCCACTCAGTGTTGCAGGACTGAGTCACAGAACATTGAAACCCAGGACAAAGGCCTATTGCTAAGGCTCTGACTGCCTAAAGAGAACATGATGAGGAAGGAAGTCCTGGATGGGCAGGGGGAAATAAGGAAGAGCTCTCATCTATAACTTAAAAAGAAAAAAAGCCTAGATAACTCAAATGTAAATAGCCCCCACCTAGTTCTACACAGGTAGGGAGGAGATGAAGTTGTGTTAGGGGATTTAGGCCCTTGAGAACAAGGGAAAGGAGAAGGGAAAGAAACTAACTACTACAAAAGGTCTGAAATGTCCCAGGGTGTTATGCAGTGCTTCCTTCTTTACAGATCCATGATACAAGGAAGCAGCTCTGACTTCAACTCTATCTCTTCAGAGAGGCTCTTGGTGAACTTGTTCTGCCTGAGGTCTTCAGGCCTGTGCTGTTTATTGGCTGGTACCACCAGGCTAGGGTAGGAATGGTTCATCAGGGCACTTGGAGAATTAAAAAGCAGCCACATGGCCATCCTTCAATGTACATTCATTGCATTTGAGAAGAAGACAAGGAACAAAAAGTGGAATGGAGTTTACCATCCTGCATTTCCTCTGCCAAATATCCAGACAACAGTGGATTTTTTCCTGCAGCACTGAAGGTGGAGTGCAAGGTTTATCCATCCTCTGGCTCCTCTTTATTTACGCAGGCCTGTAGGGAGGGGAGGAAAAAAGAGAAGACATTAGTGTGGAGCAGGTATTGAGGTACTTAAGAGAACAGAAATTGTGTGGAAATAATGAGGGCAAAATGGTTGTGATTTTTCCCTGTTTTGGTTTTTAAAATATGATTGACTACAGATGAAGAACAGGATTGAGAACTCAGAGGTGATGTAGTTAAGTAGTCTTCAAGTCTGAAAAAAAAATGTTATGCCCATACCAGACTTGAATAGTTTGTAGTTAGACTAAGGAGTAGATACAAGCCGAAGTGTTAGCTCTACATATCCTCAGCACTTGGAGCTGCAAAAAACCCCTTTGGTTAGGAATTTTAAAAGCTAATGTCCATCTCTAAAGTAGTTTATTGAAATTGCAGTGATGTCCTTCTTGAGTAGATGCAGCAGTATAAGCAGATCTACTTTTGTAGCCAGCAGTAAAGACGAGTGAATCTTTTCAGCTGAAACATCACCTCTTAAACATGTGGCTTCAGGCTGATCAAAACAGTTTGCAAATTCCTGTTGGTATTCAGCAAATTGTTTGGGAAAAAGTCTACCTAGAAAGAAAAGCAGAAACATTTTGGGTTTTTTGTTGTTTTTCTTTCCTCAAAATGAAGTGGGATGTTTCCATTGAGATATTATGGTCATCATCCAAAGTCTGGAGCAGATGGGGGAAGGCAATACTAAATGACCTTAGTTTCCTTCCTCCTCTCCCCAGTGTTTCAATCTGTATTTTTTTTTAAACTGAAGATTGTTTTCTGTGTACTTGTACCAGTCATTTGAGCTAATGAAGAACCTGCTTTCAACCTACAAGTGGATGACTGTTCCATGAGGTCTAGTCCTTTACAACTGCCTCATGCCCATAGCCAGCAGACAGCCTGCCCCACAAAAGAATAGCTTAGGGGCATTAAAGTGAGCAATCACCAACTGGAGCCTTAGATAATTCCATTAACCAATACCTTCTTTTGCTGCCCTGTCAATGTTGAAGTCTATCATCTGATAAAATCACACCTTATTTTACTCTGTGGCCCTTTCCATGGGTGGATCTGAGGAAAACAGCCAGTGAAATCTGGCTACAAACTAAAATAAAATGAAAGCTCTTCAGCCATAAAGGTGATGTAGTACTTGGTGCTGGACCAGAGTGAGTGATTTGGATCTCTTTTACTTAAGCTTGTGACTTTAAACAGGAACTGTCACAACCCACTACCCCTGGTGTCAATAGAATGTAGAACAGAAGTAGTCATGGAACCTGAAATAAAAAACCCTATTTATAGAATTTCATTGTTACTGTGTGAGTGTTGCAGGTGCTAATTAAGATGAAGCACATTTAAATCCTGCCTTTGTAAGCAACAGTACAAAACTGGTTGACTGATTTATTTTTTTTGTTGTTCTTGTTTTGGCTTTTTTATTTAAAAAGAAAAATTGTATCTGGCTGTTGATAACTAGTGAGGTTTTTCTCTAAGTGGAGGTTTGCAAGTGGTGTCCAGGAGGTCAGTAGATTACCATGATAAAGCTGGGAAATAACTGGATTGTGGTCTGGAAGTACCTATTATGAGTAATAGGTCAAGATGTCTTTACCTCCTAGAAGGAGACAAAGGTACTTAAGATTTTTTTTTTTCAGTGCAGTGGAAGGAAGCTGAAGGCCAGAAAGGGGAATGTACACTTTGACCACTGAATTTAGCAGCTGAAAACTACTGAAGTAGGCTGCCAAGGTATGCAGCAGTCTTAATGTCTTTGAGCCATGTTTGCATATTTAAGTTATCTAACTCATGGGCTGTGTACTTGATCTAGAGGTTACAGGGTTGGTCATCAGTTAAGCTATGCTCATCAATCAGTGGGGCTTCAGATATATGAAAATCCACAAATTTTGAGAGTTGAAGAAAAACTAGGGAAAAATACAAACCAAGACAAGGGAAAAGGCACATTAGAATAAAGTGTGATCTCATCAGGAAAGGCTAGATAACACCTGAGTGAATAGGATAATTCTATTAGGGAATAAAGGAAAGTAATCCTGTTAAAGTTGTGGCAACTGGACAAAGGTATTATCAGTAGAGCAGCTGACTGCTGCCAGTGGGGTGAAACACTTCTAAAATGAAAGTTTATGGTTGCAGTGAGGTCCAAGTCAGTAGTTATAGAATAGATTTGATTCCATTCAGCATTTCCTTCAACAAAAACTCTGGCATTGTTGGGGACAAAGATTTTGTTCCTTCTCTCACTACCGTTCATACATATGGAGGAAAGGCTGAAATAAATAAGAATTGCTACTTGGTGACTGCTGTAAGATGCAGGGGGTCAGTTTATCTACTGCTCAGCAGCTGTTTTCACCTGTTAGCTTCTGCCAGCACAAGGTCTTATTTTTCTGGCTGTCAATAGATAAGTGATGGTCTCAATAACAAGACTGGAAAACCACAACATGATTTTTGTACTTCATTAGTAGTTTACCATCTCACCAAGACCCTCATAAGGAAGTTTTATGTTGCTGGCTTCTGCTCATGTTACAATCTCCCCATATAGAAAACTTCATTTATCAGTACTAGCTTCTTTCACAGACAGAACTTGCCATTTTAAGAGCAATGCAGCCCAAACCCCATACTGTAAAGGTGTGATGTTTCTTCAGCATGCTGCTGCATCAAGCTGGTAAACCAGGGGGCTGCTGAAAGCTCCAAAGCTGCTGCAGACTATGGGAAATTCCATCCCACCATGACAAAATGAGAGGGAAATCAATATTTAATCTTCTGTAGCATCCCTTCTAATAGTGCTGTAGAACCCCTAAAGTTACAGGGAATTTAATGGCTTTGCAAAAATTACTTGATCTCCTGGTCTTGTGATGCAGTAACCAAGTAGGCAATAAGTCCATACTACATTAGAGGGGCACATCTACCAATCCATTTGGGGATGGTTTTTCTTCCCTCAGCCCCACTTTTCTCCTCCATCATCACATCCCTCTTTTTGGCATGACTTTCTGGTAACCTTACTCCTAAAAATCAACCTCCCTTAGCAGCTCCTTTAAAAAATTTCTGCATGTTGAAGTGCCTTCTTGCAGTTTGATTTAAAGAGTATAAAACCTTCAGATCTTATTGCTGCTTTAAGCAGCAGATAATACTGGCCTTTATGGTTGAGAATCTCATTAAGAACCAGCTTTTAAGTGGACTGAAACTGTCATCTTGTGCCTTCAGCAATGGGGAGGGATTATAAGAGGGCAGAAGCTGGAACTCAACAATAGGACTGTAGTTGTATGGGAGGAGCTGTTGTGGACAGCTCCTCTTCCTGCTCCCTGCTCTCAGCTGAATTCTTGAGATGCTCTACACAGAGAAGCCCTTATTCTTGAAGCAAAAGAATAATAATAATTTAAAAAAATCTAATGCCTGGTTTAATATAATTCACTGGTGTGTCAGCATTGTACCCTACAGGTTCCCTAGAAGTACAAGCAGATACAGGGACACAAGACAGTCTAATTTTGTGGTGTGACCATAAGGAGATTACTGGAGTATGACAGACAGGGCTGGGGATTAAAATGCATGGACATACAGGTAGAGTTCAGTTATGACTGGCCACAGCTAAAATATGGCTTAAACATCTAGAGGTTACATAAGTTTTACCCCAGTAGGTCTCTGCCACTGAGGCTCTGCATGACAGACCACAGTTTAGCCCTGAACTTGAGAGTCACATGCTGCTATTGCTATGGCTTACTGTCAGCATCCACTGAGGCTGACCCTCCCTTCCTCACAGATCCCACCTTTACCTCCCTGGGAACCATTTGCTGCTGAAAATCTTCTCTTTGCTTTCCTCAAGGAAAAGGCATCCAGTAGTTTGTTTGCAATAACATCCTACAGCTGGTCCCACCTCTTCCTATCAAACAGCATTGCCAGAAGCTAAGAATGGCAACCCCAGCTTCACCCTGGCAACCTGGGGGTAAGCAGAAGCAGTTTCACTGCTCCTGGTGTCCAATTGTTAATTCCTTCCATGCTTGGAAAGCCTGCTGGAGAAATCAACCTGCACAGAGGAAATAAACCCAAACCTGTGACGTCCTTGAGCCATCAAACTAAGAGGCAAGCATAGCCTCTTAGCACAGGAGATGATACTTACAGGTATGTCTGCTTGAACAAAAGGTTGGTGGGTTTTTCATTGACATGGTAGAGAGGAAATGGATCAAATCCACCAATGAAATCAACTGAAAAAAAATCAAAACTCAAATAAATAAAAATGGCCAGAAAATTGAAAGGAAATGAAAGAGAGAGCTGGTGCATGTCATGACATAACACAAAAATCAGTGAGAGAACAAAAAAATGATTTTTCAGGTATGGATTGCCTGGTGGAAATCTCTGCCTATATAGAACTCTTTTCCAGGATCTCCTGGAGTGGATAAGGGTGCCAAGGAGAAGATTCAGCTAGCACAAGACTTAAAGCAGAGAAGACTCCAGAAAAGAAGAGGCATCCCCTAGCCTCCTTGTACATTGCACCGTGCTGTGACTTCACATGAGAACTGAGCTGCCAGAGCCTTTCAGTGATGTGATGAAAGAAGTAAGCTGGGAATGGCTCCTGAGAGAGTGCCAGTGGAGCAGTTGGCAGAACAGCAGCCCCCATGCAGGCTATATAGTGCTTGCCCCACTTGTCTTTCCTGCAAGACAGACGACAGCAGCTTTGGAAAACTGCAAATACCTCATTATCCTCAGCTCTGATATTTTTCACATCCCCTCTGCCAACTCAGTTGCTTTTAATTGTATACAAATAAGAACAATGCTTCCCTTCTCCAGTATTCACACAAGGGCAACATAACCGAACAAGGAAAGTTTTAAGTGACAATTCCCTTAGTAACCACAGGAGAAATTTCCAAGTCTCTCTTAGTTCCCCTGAAATTAGGCCAAGTCCATATTACAGAGCTGGCCAGCAGAGCCAGGTCAGCAGGGGTATGATGTGGTGAGATTTGTGACTGACCTAGTAGGCTTTGCAAAAACTTTTAAAATAGATCCACCTAAGACCACTTCTTGGTGCCAAGTTAGTGCATTTTGCTTGGAAGTGTAAAACCTATCCAGTCCAAATGCCATTTAAAAATAACTGGAGAGGCTTATTAACTATATAAATACCTACTTATTTTTCTTTCCTGAAGGTGGCAGTATTATTTTAAATTTTAGCTAAAGTGTTTCAGTACATTTTAGTGAACAAACAATAGAAAAAAAACCAAACAAACAAACCACAACTAAATATATTGGAAGTGAAAAAAAAACCCCACAACTCTTCTTAAAATATATTTAGAAACACAAAGCCAACATATTCTCTAAAATTTCATCTTGTTGATGCTGTGATTTTGGAACAAGTGTCAGTTAATGAGCATAATCTGTAGAGGCTCTAAACTAACTGGGAGGATAATTCCCAGTGGTTCCAGTGAGACTAAACCTTTTCTCAGCCATTTATGAAAATTGTTGAGCATTTCAAAATCAAGACAGTCTGCAGTTTGAAAAAGCAGATACAGTATTAACTTAGTTGTGGAATGTCTAAGTTTAGGAAACCTTAAAGAATTACAATTTTCATTCACTGTCTAGCATCTTGAACAAACAGAAGTCCTATTGTCTGAGCATCCAACCATGGAAGCACCCCAAATCCAAGTCACTTAAAAAAAATATTGACTGTGGTTTGTTGCTGCAATATATTACAGCACATTAGCACATCTAAAATATTCTTGCCCACAATTCAGCATTAGTAGATCCCTACTGCTGTGTTTTCTCATGAAAATCACGTTAGCATGAGCTTCCTGATTAATGTGCCTCAGCACTTATAATTACTCCATGCTGCATATCAAAGCAACATTTAAAGGAAACCACAAGTGGAAGAGAAAATGAAAACGTGGCTCAAATTTGTTCGGGTCACTGGAAGGATCTACCACTGAGAGTGTGAAATATTGATGGTTTGTTATTGTTAATTATTCAAGCTGGCATTTTAACTCCAAGCTGGGAAACTGAGGGGGAAAATGAATTTGTTAGTGGAAAAAAAACCACAACAGTAACCTGAAATTAACAGCTGTGTTTTTAGATAATGCTGCTTCCATGGGGTCATCTCTCCTAACAAATCCCAACTATAAAAATGAGCTCTGTCAAGTTATTACTTTACAACATTCAAAACAGGCTCATAACTCAAGCTATTTAGCTAATAGAAGACTCCTAAAGAAGACTAATTTAAAAAATATTACTTCAAATGTATCACTTGGGCTAAGTGCCCTGCAAAGTTCTAAACAAGTGATCAATAAAGTCGGTAGAATGAGTTCAGCTACACAGAAAGCAACAGAAAAGCATGAGGATGAGCCAGATGAGATGCATTGCTTGTCTCACTCCTATGAAATAAACATTCTTCATGTACTTTCAAATATTCCATTGAAAGCTGTTGGGTCATTTTCCAGCTAAAATCTATGTCAGCTGCTCTTTTAAACAACAAAGCTACTTGTACAAACCTAATGAACGTATGAAGGAATAGACAATTGGATGTAAAGCCTTTGGATCAGATCCTTACCTTAAGAAAACTGGCCCAGACCCATTGATTTCAGTAAGACTTGACTGATTCAAACACGCTGACAATTCACACACAGAAAGGCAACATATTGCCAAAAAAAATCAGACTTCATGTTTATTTGAACCATGTGCATCTGTTGTTTTGCTTGTAAAATTATTGCTCTCAAAGGGAGTTTTAGAAGGGTAAAGAATCCAAGAGCAGGTTATAGATATCTGGAGAGATCCCATAGACCCAGCCACCCATGTGATTCCTCTGAGTCTTTGCTCTTCTCTGGCACATGTCGTGACACTGAAGATATTTGTATACTGAACATGAAGGAGTCAGCTCCTTCCTCCTTCTTGGAATTCAGATATAGCACTTCCTCTGCTTTTAAATGAAGTGGTCAGGTTGGTTCTTTGCAGGAAATCTCACGCTCTGCCTCATCCTCAGCTTGTGGCATATGATACTCAGCAGGTTGGCTGTGTTCTTTGTTGTGGGTACGCCTAGCTACGGTGGTAACAGTTCAGTGGCATTAAGCTAGGTAAGCCTGAGAGCAGAAGCAGCTGCCCAGCTTCTCTGAAGCCCAACCTGAGTGAGCAGCCAGCATCAAGCTTTTTTGGGCTAGAAGAGTAGCAGAATTACAGCATCTAACACATGATGGCATAGGGAAAAAACCTCACAGTAAAAACAGCTGATCCTTGAAAGGCAGGTAACACCATATCAGAGAGATGGAAAGAAGTCTGATGGCAACTCAGCCCTGATAGAAAAACATCTGAGAGAGAAATTAAATTCAGTTAAATCTTTGCCAAGGGATCTGTGGATCAATACTTACAGCTGTCTTCTTCTTCTGTAAAAACACTGACAACGTAACAGGCGTAGACAAAGCCCACCAGCTGGAAAATAAAGAGAGTAAAGAATTTTAGCATAAAATTTACAACACTGGTCAAAACCCACTTAGCATGACTTCAACAGCCAACAGTTACTGTCACCCTGGCAGCATTACTGGAATGGTGGGGCCAAGGCATGTGTGCTGTAAGGTACAGAGTGCAGGTGGAGGTTATGGGAAGACCCCGCAGGGAGCATACTCAAAGGCCCAAACTATAAACTTGCAAGACCCATCCTGAGGTTCAGAGGAGCAGCCTGGACTTGTCAGAACAATTGGCAAGACCATGGGCTCACTTTCTTGACATTGAAACTACTGTGCTAAATTCACTCTCTGTAAGAAGTGGGGAGGATGCAGGAGAGTGCCCTGCACAGCATTCTAGACAGACTGCCATGAACACACAGGGGTAGGGTTTACTAACAGAGGTCCAGGGATGAGAACTTATCAGCTCTGTATTCCTGTCATAAGGGGTATGCAAAGGAAGAGAAATTACTTCAGGGCAGGAACTACCAACCAGATATGAGTCGTTTTTATGCAGATGAGATATAAACTTAGTTAACCATAAAAGTGGTGATGTGCTGGCTGCAATGTTCAGAGACAATGAAACCTTTAGCAACCTAGGCTTGAAGATCAACAATTACTTGGAAAGAAATTCCAGTCTTACTGTAGCTCTACAATTTCTAAGCTTCTTTCTATCTTTGGAGAATAAACACTTCTGCTTGGGCTAATCAGGTGTTGAGCCTGCAAAGCAAATGGGCCAGAACATGGTGAGAAACACACAAGATGACCGCAATGGGCTCAATTCATGAATTGCATAGCTTAGCAGTAAAGTGCCACCTCCTGGGAACCAGATAGAGCAGGGAAGGAGCAGTGAAACAATGGGGTGCCTCTCAGATAACAGCATGGTGTGGTCCTCACATCAACACATCACTCAGAGCTGTCTTTAGAGCAGAAAACCAGTGTGAACATAAAAAATCAATTTAAAACAGCTCGGTGGGCCTGTCCTTAGCTGGTAGCTAAGCATCAGAACTGCCTCATTCAGCCTCAGCAGCAAGTGGTTGCTCAGCATCAACAGAGGAACAAACTTCTGGTTCTATGGGAGTTAAGCATTCTAGATCCAGCAGGGTTTTATTCTGCTTTTCCTTCTTCCTGTTAATCAAATATCCTCTCTATCCTTCATTTTACATCTTCACATAACACCCCACTTAGTGAGATCTTGGTTGACAGTAACTGTATTAGTAAAGTTATTGTGAGACATAATTGTTTTCCACTGTGAACTCAATTCTTTTGATCAAGAGCTGGAGAGTAACATACAGTGACTCACTCTAGGGGAAGACAGAATGATGCATGGGAGGGCTTGAAAAGTAGAGTCCATTCATTTTTAATAGGACAGAAAAATACATCACACCAGAAAACAAAAGGCAAGATAATGAGATTTCTACTGGGGAGTTATAAGGCATTTGTGATTTCAACAGCTCTTCCTGCCAAAAATAAAAACACCTTGTTAGAAGGAAATGGAATGTTTTTGTAGCTTCAGTAATCCTTGTATTTCCTTTACAATTTTCTAGAATAATCTCCAAGACAAGCCAGCTCTGCCCCTTCCTCTTGGGTGATCCTGCTGGAAGCATGACCCAGTACCTGAGAGGAGCAGAGGTAGCTCTGTGGACTCCCTCATTTCCCTGCTGGGTGTTTTTGAGACCAGAGCTGCTTGGTACTAGGTTTCAGTGAGCTACAAAGGACTTAATGCAGGGGAGAAGACAGAAAAATAACATAAGACAGTAATAATAAAAATAAATCCTTCTGGGATTTTCCAGCCAAAATTATTCCACGTAAGGTAACCACAAAGCCACACGCAGTGCCCAATCTCATTTTACCTGCTGACTTTCAGAATGGCCTCTGAGTAGAACCATTGCTTTTTAAAGGCAGACAAAAAAAACAACAACCAGAAGACACACACACACAGAAAACCTCCCCCCCAAAAAAGCAGAATAACCAGAGAGGAATTGTTTTGTCCCTGGGAAGTCAGGGGGAGGCCGGGGCGCCGGCAGGAACTGGCCGTGGTGCTGACGCAGCCCCCGCCGCCGGGAGCCTGGGCTGCCAAACCCCAGCCGGGCTGGGGTACCTACCCGCGGCAACGCTGCTGGATGCTCTTGGAAAGCCAGAGAGCTTCAGTTTAGAGCCGTCTCACCACGTGAGACGTCGAAGCACCAGCAGCACAGCCTGGTCTCCGAGCTAAGTGCATTTGCTCTCGCCCAGGGATCAAAGCAGGAAGGTGGTTACACACAGTTCTTTGTACCTGCTCTAGCGTTTTTCCAGACCCAGCTTTTTACATTTTACAGGATATAAGGTCAAACCATGCTATTTACAAACACACAGCAAGACAAGCAGGAAAGATGTATCTTGAATATGTCCTGGTTCTAAGGGAACTCTAGGAAGATTTTATCTTTCCCCAGATCATGCCTCAGAGTAGGAACTTTGCATAAGCAGCCATGCAAAGTGACAGCCCTGAATCCACTCACTAGTATGCTCTGTAACATATACACACAAACCTTATGTGATATCTGTGTCAGGAAGCTGACAATATTAACAATGAAAATGACTTATCTGCCCAGCTTGGGCAGAATGCATGAAAGATTATCAGCTATACTGTCATCAGGAACCTGCTAAAGCTCTGAAAATTCTTCATGGTTCAGAAGCACCAAGCAAGTAGTAAGATTGAGTTGGGAAGTTCGTTTTGCACAGAAATTAATGCCTTGTAACACTCAACTATCACTCCTCTCACTCCATACATTTTTCCTTTTATGACTAGGGTGACTTTTTGCATTCAGAAAAGCAAACCAAACCCAAAGCTAGTGAATTAAGTGAACTCCCTCAAATCTCTAATTCTAGCTCCAGTGGAATGGAGGGTTTTCTTTATTTCCTCAGTCTCCTGGCTTTGTTTCAAAATTATCTGTTTAGTGTTTCAAGTTTACTTTTAATTGACCCTGTAATCCATTCCTTCTTTACATGAGCTTCATGAATAAAACAATTGTTTACTTAATGGCACATTTTATTTAAAGAAGTTTTGCTAGTCTTGTGGCCTGGTCAGAACACGGTAGTTTTAGTGGCAAGGAGGGAAGAGAGATACAACATAAACATGAATTGCTCTTCTCTATGGGCTGACCTGAGTTATAATTAAATACATCAGCTCAGGGATGAAGTGAACTCCTGGGACTTCCAGTGTCTCACCTTCTGTGCGATTATGAATAAAATACAGCTACAGAGAAGAAATGCTGCTCCCATTACTCAGTCCTTTTTACTGGAGGAGTCTGCTAGAATGTGGGAGACACCAACAGTTCCTTTCTGACTCTGTCCTTGATGAAGAGGTAGCAAGCTCCCAAACACCACCAGGTTTAGCAGCAATTAATATAGAACAAACAACTTCAAGGAGGCCAAGAATTTGAAAGTAACTTCACTCCTGCTCAGAGTGTCATCTCAACTGCTGATCTCAATACAAAAGAGGAGTTTAAGCTCTAATATCCCAGGGAAATAGCAATAATTCTTAGATCTTCGCAAATTATGTAGGGAAGGTGGAAGAGGGGGGCAAACATCTGTGATGTAAAATGACACTAAGCTATTGCTCTAATTCCCCAAAGAATGTTCTTGGGCTTTAGCTTCTGCTGCTGCTTCTCCACTTGTTCTGCACGTTCAGTACCAGGTTCCTCCAGGCTGCACGAGTCCAATTAAGCTTTTTATTAGGAACACATGTCATAGGCAGGTGTGTTCAGTGAGCCTGTCAGACAGGCTGGGAATGCACACACTGCCCAACAAAAGAAGCTGGAGCTGGGATGTCCCAGGCATTCTGCAGGCAAATGAAATGAGCAGAAAATACAAGAAGAGACAAGTGTGCCCAAAGGGAATGAAGAGAACATAAATCTGTACATCCCTCTGCCCCTCAGTCATCTGCAGTTAACTTTTTAATAGTGAGCTGAGAAGTGTTCATAAAACAGCAGTGCTGAACTAAAGTGCTGGAGCCAGAAAGACTGAATTACAGCAAGATCCATGGGAAGAGACCAGCTGGATGCTAGTGTGCAAAACACATGAAGGATGGGAAGACAAATTTTAGGAAATGTTACTGTTGCTGGTGTAAAATCTGAGCTTTCATCTACATCTGTCCTAGTGAAGATTCTGGGCTCTTCAACTTTTCTATCAATAGAAAAACTTGCCGTTGTTTTTTCCAGCACAGAGACCATGTTCAGAGTTTCCTCCTCCAGGACAGATGTCCTGTAGGTTTCACTTCTAACCAGAGCTAACGAAGTGTGTATGTTCTCATCAGTGTGAGAGGGGGGAAATAATGTCTCTACGTGCAAGCAAAAAGCCAGCTTGTGAAAGAGCTGTTGTGACCAGGTAGCCAAAAAGAAGCTACCAAAATCCTTCAATTCCTCCACCTTCTTTATGCTTCAGATGCAATTATGACCACTGAAAATCTAGCTCCTGCCAACAGCAAAGCCCGTCCTGTGTGTTGCTTCTCACATAACATCTGCTGTCAAGGCTTGCATTGCTGCCTTCCTGGGACCCTTCCAACTTGTCAGTCTGGGTGAAACCAGCAGCCAGGCAGTGAGCTCTCTTGGTTGGGAAGACATTTCCAATTTCCCTCCCATTCGATGCAGCCTCAGGAAAAGCCTAGCCCTCCCCACTCTCAGAACTACCATATGGACAGCCCAGAGCTATGCCAGGTATTTCAAAACTAGAAATTACTCCTCTCCCTGCAAGATGAATCCTTGCTAAGAAAAAAACAAAGCCAGTTTCTTTTCCTCACAAACTAGTTGCTGTTGCATTTCCTAATTGAGTTGGTAGGATTGGTTTTATGGAGACACCTCTATAATAATACAGTCTAAGATGTTACTAAAGGCTTTTTCCTCCAATGTGTTCTGTGCTAAAGCACTGAGAAAAAATATCATATTGGGCCCTACAGCTACTTGTATCATGGCTGGTGATGGATATACCCAAGTTTGATTGCATTCCAGATTAAAGGAGTTGTTTTTGCCTTCGAGGAGTACAGACAAGCTCTCAGCAAAAGCAGACCGAGGCCTTATGTGTCTTCAAACGTATGCCCAGGAGCAGGATGATATAGTCAGCAGGAGTCAAGATGACAGCCAACACTCTGCTCACCAGATGGGCTTAGGTTTGCTTTCCCTCTCCTTTGGCATGCAAGATTGAATTCAGTGAGCCTTACCCCAAGCACACAGTTCAGTGCACTACAGTTCCTCAGCAGTCTCAAGGAACTGGTATTTCCAGAAAAAAAACAAAATGTCCACAGCTGGGTACTGCAGAGTTAAAGAACATGGATTTCACACTAGCATGTCTGGAATAAATAAAAAAACTCAAACAAAAAACCCTCTATAACCTCCCACCCCACAACTGCTAAAAAAAACATTAGGCAAAGCAAAAAAAAACAAACAACAAACATCAACCTAGAGAAAAAACAATTTGCCTGTCCCTTGACCTTCTTAACAGGGAACTGACTATTCCAGTCTCAAATGTATGGCAGGCAAGGGAGGAACTAGGTCATGTCCCTTGCTGCATCCCTGAGCCTTCAAGTTCCTAGTGATGTTTTTTTTGTACTATTGATCAGGTTTCCCTGCCTATCTGCAGCACAGTACCTGCCACGCACTCTGGGAAGGATGGCAGCCTGTAATAAAATCTACCTTAAAATGTGATAAAGAGAAGAGAAAAAGATACTGGCAGGGATCAAAGAGTTTGACCCTCAGAGACTAAAAAGGGAGAGAAGTGGCTGACTGTTTTCAGGCAAGGTCTGAGTGAGGAAGTGAAGAGGTTTTCTTTCTGCCTCACCTCAGCAAAGCAGAGAGAAAAAGCTCTATTTCTCCTACTGCATGACAAAATTATATGAACATTTCAGAGCTGGCAAGAGTTACAGGCCTGGGGCTTCAATACTCTATTACAGGACAAGTAGAAATATAGTTCACTCTGCAGATCTCAGCCCATATGGCTTTCTTGCATATGAGTATTTTAGTCTCATTTCTAAGGTTTAGGATTCAAAAATCCACTGCAATTTCAATCTTGGGGAGAAGGAGAGAGAAAATACTTACATAAATCCTATTTTATCTGATAATTCTCTCCTCTGTCTCTGCTTTTAGTCCACTGTTGTATTTTGCAGATGCACAGAGAATATTGTCATGTACCTCTGGGAAGAAACAAAGGAGAAAACACTCCCAGTGGCACAGACTCCTACATATTGGTGGGATCACTTAGCTCGGGTTCATGTGCCCAAGCTAGCAATCTGCTGTAAAACAAAGGTCCATTCCAGACAAACTCAGGACCATTTGTTGGCTGAGCCTCTAGCCTGGGGTACAGGGGCCAGTGACAGCTCAAGACTTTGGGAAGGATCCTAACAGGGACAAACTTTAAATGTCTGGGATGTTCTGACTTCAAAGTCTATAAATTATTTCACCAAACTCAAGGACAGCACCAGCTTAGCAGCATCAATCCTGTTTCAGCTAATGGCCCTTTATAAAAAGACAACAGGCAACATTCTTCTGGATACATGACTTTGCCTCTCTCATACACATGCATCAAAGCAACTCTGACAGTTTAATGCAGATACTTTTCCCTGACAGAGAACTAACCAAATATTAACAGCCAGCACACGCACCAGGGAGTCCATCCAACTCAGGAAACAGGAGCTTCTCCATCTGCCTCTTTCTCGTGACAAGGCAAGAAAGGGTCTGAGTCTTCCCCCGCTCCCTGCAGTTCACTAGGTCACACAGATCATCCCAGCTAATAGGAAATGCAGGATCAAGACAGTGGAAAATTATACCAAAAACGTGCAGAGCAGTACTTGGCAGTCCAGAAACTTGGAATTTCCCCTATTTATTATCCTTTACCTTTCAATCAGGGCAAGTTACTCTTCTTTTTTAAGCCAGAACTGAAAGCTGCAATGAGATCATTTCGCAAGTCCACATGGGTTTGTACTTAAAGCCATTAACAACAAAGTAACATACCAAAGCAGATTAGGAAGACACAGGCTGCTGACTCCAATACAGCTACAGAATGCAAGACTGCCCACCAAGTAAGGGGGACAATAGATATTTTGTTTCAGTTAATTTCAGACAAGTGAGAAACAATTCATTAACAGTGAACACGAAGGACATCGAATTACTGCAGAGTATTTTAAAAAGCCTGTGGAAGACACCAATAAAGAAAGAGTTGCTGAATATATTTAGTGAATGTATCTTCGGTGTCAGCAGAAAGAAAATATACATTTACTTCCTTAAAGCTTCTTTCATTTTCTGGAGATAAGTATCTTCTCCTTTCATTTCTTCACAGCAAATGTGCATAGATGTGCTCCACCACTCATCACTAACTCATGTGATATAAGTGAAGTGCATCTTCAGAAGGATCTCTGTCCTTGTCAAAACAGGGTTTTCCACACCCCAGCAGGGATGCAGAATGATTTGTTATGTGGTTCCATGTAATCATAGAATCATAGGGGTTGGAAGGGACCTCAAAAGATCATCTAGTCCAACCCCTCAGAATTCCAGATTGGAAGGAACCTCAAGGATCATCTGGTCCAACCTTTCTAGGTACTGCTCCAGTTTATATGAGATGGCTCAGCTCCCTTTCAAGCTGAGACTTAAAACTGTCCTATGTGGGGGAATCTACCACTTCTCTTGGGAGACTATTCCACTGTTTGACTGTCCTCATAGGTAAAAATTTACCTCCTGTGTCCAATTGGAATCTCCCCAGGAACAACTTGTGCCCATCACCCCTTGTCTTTTCCACATGACTCCTTGTAAACAGGGAGTCTCCATCTTCTCAATAGCCAACCTTGAAGTACTGGAACATGGTGATAAGGTCTTGCCTAAGACTTCTTTTCTCAAGGCTGAACAAACCCAGTTTTCTCAGCCTCTCCTCATATGGTAGGTCCTTCAATCCTCTGATCATCCTTGTAGCTCTTCTCTGGAGCCTATCCAGCCTGTCCATGCATAACCTACTATCCATTTCCAATTCTTTCAAGCAGTATTGCTCATAAGAGAGAACAGGACACCAAACAGAAACACATTTACTGAGGCTTCTGCAATCAGATTATACAAAACAGGGTGGAAAATATGGGCCAGCCTCTGTGCCTGGAAAAAAAAACTACAACAAACCCAAGCCAAACAGCATCTCCTCAACAACTGCTGCCCTGCAGCACTCCCAGCACTGCACTCACCGCGATCAGGATCTGGAAGGAGCTGTGCATGACCTCGATGTACCGGTACTCCAGGGCACAGCCTATCACAGAGATGTAGGAGTGGCTGTCCAGCCCTTTGATGCCAGACACGGAAGCCTCCTTCCTTACACAGCCAGGACCGTTTTCACTCCACCATGATTGGTGCCGGGAGATGTTGAATGTTAGGAGTTCACTGTCCTAAAGAGGAAAGATGCAAAGATATCTCCTTTTACTCTAAGAGCACCAGACATGCTGTCAGATGGGGGTCACATTTAACCAATGCAAAACTTGAATTTAATTTCTTCATATTCTCTATTAAGAAGTACTTCACAGGCAGACTTCTGTGGTGGGAACCATTTCTGAGGCAGTCCCACAGCACTCCAACAAACCTATTCCACCATCAAGTATCACATTTTGAAAGCAGATCTGAGGAGCGTCTAAATTAGAAAGACAGTTTCTATGCTGCAGACCCCAGAACACTGAACTAGTTGCTCCTGCACCCAGAAAGGAACACTCATGTTTTGGGTTTGGGAGATTAACCTTGTAAATGTAGAAGAAAAAAGTAACCAAGGCAGCACTAAGCATCCTGTCACAGAATCATCTGCTATGGGTACCCTTTTCCCAGAGAGTTCATATTTTTCATATGAACTTCATAACCCCAAAGTTAGTTTCAAAACCCAACAGCTCTTCCTCTGTTCCCAGCTTTTAGCACATCTTACAAGTTCCTGTATCATTTCTGTCCAAGTTCCTTCTACACTCTTCAGATATGGTGCTTCTGAATCTCCTGCTGACCTTACACACTGTCAGCCTCAGTTCAGATTATCCAGCAGAGTTGACCTCATGGTGATGACTGCAGCTTCTTGCAAACACTTGCCCAGCAATTCCTAATCATCTTTATCCCAAGAGAGCCTTGTTTTGTTTTGCTGTCTCATCTTTGCTTGCTCAATAATTTAAACGACGCCACTGGTGGGGAGGGTTACACAGTGAAATGCTACAGGAGCAGTGCAGGAATTCGGTAGGCAACCAGGTGCTCAGTTAAAAATGACAACACTTGCATCACAGTTGAGAAAAGAGTGGTAGTCACTGAAGTATCCCCAGGAGAGCTTTGGGATTTTGAGCTTACAGGACATGGCAAAGCCCTCCCTGCAGATGGGAAAAGACAAATTCAGAACTGGCTGAAGAGATCAGTTGCATCACTTCACAGATGAGCAGCACTAAGTGCTGGGTGCTCCAGCAGCTCTCTCAGGCCACTCTGAGGTGGAATCAACAGCTCCTTTCTGAACACAAAACAAGGTGAAGGCTTGGAAGTTTTATTCTGATGGGATAGATTATGAAATTTGTAGGCAGATAATCTATGTGTCTTTACAGAGAAGAAACAGGTACTGGATATAAACACCCCACCTAACCATCAATGCAGGTTTTAGCACCTATCCATGTACTAGGATTCTACATAGTCCCTATAGGAAAGAAGTGGCTCCCAGAAGAGCAGCAGTCAGAGCCTGGGGCTTTCACACTTCCTAACACTGGAAACCTCATGTGGCAGTTTCTTTGCCTCAGTTCCCTGGAGAGACAAAAGGGAAAAACATGTTCAAAGCAGCTAATCCAGGCTCCTGCTCTGAATTACCCTCTGGAGAAATGAGCACACTACAGGAAGCCCAGCCAGGTAGTCCTGCAGATACATTCCTCTGTGTCCGTGTTTGTATCCAGGGGCAAACTTGAGTCCCAAGGGCAGAAACATGAATGTCAGTCAGAAAACTTGTGAACAGAAGCCAAGTGCCCCACTATAAACATCATGTAGGTACCTGCCACTCCATTCAAAAATGTTTTTCAGAGCTGTTATTAAAATATGGTGTGGGAACCACATGTTAAGAATTGTGGACAATTAAGTGAGAAGACAGCTGGCAAACTCCTGCCATGATTACCACAGCAGATGGGATGTGTTCTACAGTAGCTGGAGGAGGGCACAGGGATGAAGTACAGCACCAGGGAAAAATGCAGCATAGCAAAGGCAATAGGGAAAAGTCTGATAAAGGCTGGGAGTCTGAAGGCAGCTGTCTGCATTTTAAAGGCTGTGGGAAACAGTTATTAGATCGGCTGCTATAGGATAATGCACAAAGTACAAGGTGCTGTGCTTGCTGTATTTCTTGAGAGTTTTCTCCTCCAGCTTCTCCCAGTTTTGGTAGCCGAGTCTTTGGTTTGCTCCCTCTGCTGGGCAATGCTCTTCAGTCCGCCCGGTACATCACAGGGCCACCAAATGGTATCTTATCTGCAAAGCTTGTTTTCCATGCTCTGAGACACATGGATCTTCCCCAATAAAAGCTTTTCCTCCTGCACAAAGCCAACCCTCCAAGCTGCTGTGCTCTCCTCTGTCCCACAAGCCACTGGCCACTTAGAAGATCTGCATATTGGGAGCAGACACATCTAAAGTAGTTAAAGTAGCAAAGCAAAAATTTTCTTCCTTTCCATGAGAATATCTTATTTGTTCAAGTCCTAGTTATAAAAAAAAAAAAAAAGAAGGTTTATTTCATCTACCAAAATTTAGATTGAGATACAATTTTCCTCTTGGCTATGGGGATCACTGATTACAAGAGTCATCTTTTTTTTTTTTTTTTTTTTTTTTTTTTACTCAAGAAGGAGGGACTCAATTCCTATTTCTTTGCCAGGGGCTTCTTCCAATTAGCACAGAAACAAAGCTGTTCCATGGGGCACCACAGGATCTACTCTTAACCTCGCTCCCCAGGGCTTCCCTCTCCCAGCTCACAGATGGTGCCTTACCAAACCTTCTGCCTCATCAATGCAAAAACTCCCTTCAGTGCTTTATCTACTCCTTACAGAGGCATCTCACATGTATTTGGCAAAGTAAGAAACAGGCTGTGTTCCTTCTTCAATCTCTCTTTTGTCAGTCTTCATAAAATAGGCTCCGGTTAAACTTTGCTGCAGAAGCTGAACTTACTTGGGAATTAAGCCTGAAAAAGCAGAACAGGTGCTGGGCTGGAGAAAGGCAGGTGAAGGAGCAGTAGGTCCAAAACAGCTCTCACTCATTTTTTCCTACAATCACCCTCCAGCTCTGTGCAAAATAAATAAATAAATTGTACTTAAGAACAGATTGGAGAAACTGAGCACATTTGGATTCTAAAAGCACGACGACAAGGCGCACACATGGGCCATCCATCTCACAGATGTAAAATGAATACTGATTGCACACAGGGACTGTGGATGCCCTCACGTTCAGAAACACCCTTCTGAACAGGCATCTGTCTGGAGCACTGCAGGGCACAGGGACAGTGTGAATGAGAGGGTCTCAACAGCCAAAGCAATGCTGTGTCCCTGGATGGATGGCCTCAGAGGACACCTGCCTTGATGGGGCACAATAAAAGACCATTTAAGAAAATAACTTAATTCACCTCCAGTTGCTCAGTGCTTTCAGGGGGGCTGGGGAAAAGAAAATCCCAGGATGTCTCCTGCAGATAGCCAGCTTCATTTGCTAGGAGAAGGTTGAAGGGAAGTGTAACTATGGAATAGGAACAGCGCACTAAAATCAGGAGAAAAGAACCAGCTGCAGGAAAGTTCAGGAAACAGCTGTTTCCCAAAACCTTTCTGCAAAGCATCTGAAGTCTAAACACACTGAAATACTCCCCAGAAGGGTATGCAGGTTGGAAGATGTTAATGAATCCCAGAAGTGAGCAAGCCCTGCTGCAGGGACGGAGACTGAGCTGTGTGTAACCTCAGTCCCCTTGTTTCTTGACAGGCTGCTATTTGAAGGGCTGGCACTTCCTCTCTAACCTTCATCCTGAAGAGAAATATGAGCAAAGAGTGATAGGAGCTCCATCTCGGGAGCACGTTGAAAGCCAGCCAAGAAAATCACATATCACTCTGAACTGTTGTAGCACCTGGTTACCATCCATTTGGCATCAGCGTGAGAAGGAAGAGAACAACACTAAAACTGTAGTACCTACATTTCACAGAGTCTATTTTCCTTTCCCAACCTCCTTCCCTGTGTCCATGGGGAAACTCACACCTACCTCTGACACCCACAGAGCCAGCTGTGTTCCATTTCTAAAGCAGTTTTTTTAAAAGCTGTTCTAAAATTATTTTCTAAGGGACACTATCAGAGATGGTTTTATTTCTTGTTAACAGCCTTCTGAACCACCCCCAAATTTCTTTAATTATCAGGCAACCCAGCACTATAATGGCTCTGGAAACAAATTCAGCCCTGTATGAGAGCCCCCAGAGCTTGACAGCAGAATAATTTTACATCTTTTCACTTGGAAACATTTCTTATCAAAACAGAAAATATGTTTGTGTTTTAGGCATGTGTGCTGAATAGCTGTATCACCCTGAGACAACAGAGAAGCACTTTCCTTGTCTCTCAGCATGCTTGTTGACAATGCTTCAGCATTTAAAGGCCAAATCTCAGGCTTCCAGTTTCTAAATTTAGGTGGAGTTGAGGAACAGTTTGAATTACACATGCATTTATTCATCCTGCTCACAGTATTTTTGCCAGGTACAAAATAATCTCAAGATGCCATCCAGATTCTCTGCAATACAAATAACCCCCATCTGACTAATAAGGGCTGCTTCCATTTCAAGAGGAGATTTAGACCACCACCACAACTCTGAATTCAGATCAAAGCACTGGGTAGACAAGAGAAAATATAAAGAGAGGGTAAGAAAAAAATTCACCATTCCAAGATGAATAATTCCAGAGTGAAAAGCCAAAGGAATACATCAAAATATACATGCTGAAGAGTCAATCAGTATGGCAGCTGGACAGACAGATGCTCGTGTGTCTTACCAGCAGGATTTGAATTATTAACTCAGACCAGGGGGTTGCAGGAGGGACTATGTTTCACACTTGAGTAGACAGGGAGAAGCTTAACATGTTACTGCAAGCACAGCCTACAAACTTCAGAGGTAGCTCCCACCAATCTTCCTCACCAAGCAGCCAGATGGACAAAAAAGAAAAAGGAGATGAAACAGGATCAGACCAGGGAAGGAGGAAGAGCAATGTGGAAATCAGGCTGGGAGCACAGAGCAGTGGAACAGCACCATCCGAGAGGCTGCATTTGCCCCAGCTGCTGCAAGTGTGCTCAGAACTGTGAGCAGAGCAAGGCAATGCTGCCAAAAGCCACTCTAGGCATATCACCATCTCCCTGCCAGGGCTGAAGCAACCCTTCCAATCCAGATTGCTGTATCTCCTGCCTGCTCCTTGGCAAAGCACTTACAGGGAAGCTGGCACAGGCTACATGCTCAGGGAGGCCCCTGCAGCAACAAGGGAAGTGCTTTCTTAGCAACTTATGTTGAACCATTTGTGTCTGGCCACCTAATGAAGTTCTGCTGTGCCATATTTCACACTCTCATTCCTACTAAGAAAAGATTGCACCATTAAAAAAATGACAGGGTAGAAATACAGAAATCAGGCCAGTTTAGCTCTTCCAAGAAGTAGAGAATAGATTCATAGAGCAGGGAAAAGCATTTTCCTGTTGGAAAAAAAATAATTGTGTAGTTACAACTAGTGGTTAGGAGTTGGATCATTAGTAGGTAGTTACTACTACCCTAAGTAGGGCTGGCCAGAACAGCCCCTCTCAGGCTTTCCATGGCCAGGGGACAGCAAGCACTGCTGGGGCAGAGCACTTTAGGAAATCACGTGGAAGAAAGGAGGAAAGAGAGGGTGAGAAGTGGTGGGAAGACAACCCAAAAGAGGAAACAGTCAATGGAGAAGCAATTGCTTGGTCAAGGACAGCAAACAGCCACCCCCCAAACTGCAGCTCAACAGGAACGCTTCTGCCAGCCCATATTGTACTGATGACATGGAGTTTATAACTAAGAGTCTCCCAACCCCTTTGCCTAATTGCTTATGGGCTGGCATGGGACCTTTCGTCCCAGACCCCCCTTGCTGTGGTGCCCCTGGTTTCTGTTCTGCAGACCAGTCAGGCACCCAATGGTTGCTCATACCCAAGGGGGGCACAAGAACAAGTGTCTGTGCTCAACTCAGCCCTGCACTGCACAGCACTTCCCTGCTCACATCTTGTGCTCCCTCACCATTGAGAGATCAGATCTAGGCACCAGAGCACCAAGAATTACTTGCAATAAGTGCACATAACCATTTCCTCATTTTTTCAATTATTCTGGCTTTTCCTAAACTTGTTACAGCAGAAACACTTGGACCCTTTCCCCCTTTTCTCACCCCACCTGAGTTATCACCTGCTCAGTTGCACTGGGCTGTCATTACCACCACCAAGTGAACAAACTCCATTCCTTCTAGCTCACTGCCCTTCCTGCCTTTTGTCATGATAGATTAGCTGGCTACTGACAGATCTCACTGGCAGGCTGCCCTTGTCAGGCGTGCAGAGGGGTGAGCACAGCTCTGGTGAGAACATAGCTCTCCTACTCCTCCAGCTCTGTCCCACAGGAATCATGAAGAAAAGAGCACCTGAAGACCTTCCTTCGAGCTATCAGCCTCTTAAGGGACTCACACAGCAACAGCCCTGTCTGAAACACTCCTTAGCATGTTCATGCTTAGTCTGGTAGTTAATGAGTTAGTGTTTACTTGACCAGCTCCATCAGCCTCACTTCACCAAAGCTTTTCTTCTAATATTTGCAATCTACCTGCTTACTTCCAGGCTAAGGACAAGCCTTGATTTGACTTCTTCTTAGGAACTAAAGGACAGCTTCCTCCCAATGCCCCTGAGGGCACACAGAACTACCTGCTCCTCTGCAGCACTGCTGCCATAAACTCCCAGCTGATACTGCCCTGCCCTTGCCCCTCCAAGAGCCTGTCCAACACATGTTCACCCAAGCCCAGGTGTCCTCTGGGAATGTCAGTCAGTGATCAATAAGACTCTGCAGATGTCAGCTGGCTTTGGATCAGGTTTCTAGAGATGCAGCAGGACAGCAATGCTTCTCTTTTGTCCAGTCACACTGTCCTACAGAAACCTTAATTCCTGTTCCAAGTGCATCTTTTATTCTCAAGGGCAAGAGAGGTTTTGTTTTGCCATTAAAAAAACCCAAATAACTTCAGTTCAAGGGGAAAAGGAGCAAAGCAGCATCACGAGTTTTTCTTACAAGACAGCCTTTTTAAATGAAAGTAACTTGTTAAGAACAGAGGCAAGGCTGTATTTTACCAACCAACAAGCACAAATACGCTCTTGTTTTTGCCAATTGCCACCAAGCTGACAGCATGGGTTTCTCGCTACAGCTCTAGAGGAAAGTCCACCAAGTCGATATCAATTCAAACTGCAGCCCAATTCTATATAAAAAAAAAAGTCCCTAGTCACGAGTGTCATCCTGTAGGCTAAATAAGGGTTCTCTGTGTGCTACCTTTGCTAAAATGAGCCACAGGACAGAGCAAGGTTAGGAGATGAAGCTCCTCTGTAGTGGAGAAAAAAGAGTTTTTGCCATGCTGCTTGAATTGCAGAACAGCAACACAACGTGTTGTAGGGCAGGTTGGGATTAGTAAACACAAGTAATCACCTGGCTGGGAGCAAACACTGGCTGTCACAGAAGCTCCAAAAGCAGTTTAGCAAACCAATATTTCCCAGCAGAAGGGAGCATTTAAACTGTTATATAAAATTATTTTTCAGTTGGTCAAAGCCAACACTGAGAGCATCTCAGGCTGAGCTTTCAGACCAAGAATAATCACTGTTTTGGGCAAGAAATCTTTCAAAGTTTCTGTGGATAATTGAGAGGGGAAATGGAGATTAATTGAGGAATTAAGAAGTTACATTTTCTTATCTGCAAAGGATTTATGCTGTCACTCATGACTTGCTGTAGGCCTGATGAAAAAAAGTAGTGCAATTCCAATTATGACTGCAACTTAGATGTATGACCTGGGAATTTAGGCCAGATGTGGAGTACTCCAAAAGGAGCCTGTATCCCATAATTGTACTGAGTCTGCTCAGCTACACTTAGTAATTAATTGCTTACAGCCCAGACTTAATTTGGAGCCTGCCTCCCATTTTTGTTATTCCTGACTCACCCCTCATTAAGCAGACAGCAATACTTCGCTTATCTCATTATTAGCTGTCTTCAAAGAGCTCCACATATTGACTCACAACACCACTAGCCAATAGCCATAAATAGCTACCACTGCATTTAAGAAAGAATCAAGACAGGGAAGCCACACCACCTCTGAGACTGCCTCCAGAGGAGATGTGCCAGCCTCCCCAGCATCCCTCTGCTTTCTTCTCTATTCAGGAAAAAAAACAAAACAGCTCACCCAAGAAGTGCAATGGGAAATATTTTGCCTGGTGTGGCAACATCCAGGTACCTACTGCTGCTGTTGAAGTGCACTAGGTCTTTAGCAGGAAT